ATGAATCAATCCAGAAATATTCAATGTATGAATTTGAAATTCTGTACAAATTACTGTACTGATATTTTATTAAAATCGGGTTTGGAACTTTTCCTTCTGCCTTCAGATTTTTTCATCCCCTTAGATCTACAAGTGCAGAAACCCGAGAAATTCAGAATTAAAAAAATGTAGCAAAAATGTGGGTTCGAGGTTCTAAAAAGCAAAAAAAGATAGGGAACATGTTCAACATTCCACAATTTTACGAGCGAGACGAAAAAAAATTGACCAGGGGTGGTTCCTTTATTTTATTTTATTTTTTGCTGAGGGCCAAGAAGGGAGAAAAATTGCACAAAGCCATTTATTCGCACGGGAGCAAGCGTCGCTAATCGACAGTGTCGACACTCGACACATATGCCCTTCTCACGCGACACACGACAGGTTTTTCTCTCTCTCTCCCACCGAATCATTAACTCGACAAGGGGGTTCATTCATAAAGTTCTTTCACTGATTTCCAAATTTTACTACAGTATAAAGAGATGACTATAGTATCCAATTTCTGAAGGAACTCAAATTTTGGCCAAAATATTTTTCATAAAAAAAATGCGCCCTTCAGAAATATCTTGATTGGCTCAATACTGAAATTTCTATAATTATTTGTAAAATTTTCAAATTAGCATCAAACTGATTCAGCGAAATTCAATGAAAAAATAAATGTGATTTTTAAAAATTAAAAATAAATTAGAGGACGTAAATAATTTTTTTTTGAAAATTAAAGCAAAAAATGCTCTTCAGAAGAAATGTTCATCAGAAAAAAATTCCGGAACTTCCACAAGGGCCCTTTTTTCATGCCAAAAAATGCACTTGTTCTGAGGTTTCCCACCCCCTAATTTTTTTCATTTTATTTCTCGTTTTTTATTTTTTACCCCGCGTCTCCCTGTAGTTGCCACGATTTGCATTCTCACGCCTCATTTGCATTTTTGTTCCAGGGCACAGGATAAAAACTTTCATTCATTTCCTGCACCTGTCAACAATTCAATTTACATTCCACCAAGTTTTCCTTCCGGTTTCCTGTCTTCGAGAATAAAAAATGTAAGGCAATACAGAGGAGCATATTTGCACATTTTGCTTGTCACTTGATAAATCTTTCGGAGATTCACTGAATTTCGTGGGAAACTTTTGGAACATGCTGAAGGTTTGGTTTGATGTAATTTCGTTTGTAAAATTTTTCGAAGACGATTCGGTGAGAAAAAAATACATCAAACATTCAGAAGAAATTATTCACAATACTGTAATGTTAATTTTTTTATTTCAGAAAATGGAAAAAAATCGACGAAAAACATTAACTGCCCGCAAAAAAAGATTTGCTTGCTTTTGCAGCCTATATTTTTAAATGTTCTTTGAGTTCATCGTGTCCAGATAAAAATTTGATATATTTTTGGGAATAACCTTAATCTTTACTTCGCATAAAATTTTCACAATAAAGCGTTTCAGAAGTTGTTGCACAGCGGGAAAATGTTTTTGAAGGCATAATTAAATTGCTTTTCATCAATTCCAATCCCACCAATTTCCAAAGAAAAAAGAGCGCACAACATTTAGTTCAAATTAAAATATATTTTGATCAAGGTTTGTGAGATTCCATTTTTTAGAAGGTTGAGTTCACGAACTTTAGATTTTTTTGGGGCAGTGAATTAAGTTTCTATTTATTTTCGGCACACCAATGAAACTTCAAGTTTACATCGAAATAAGCATCGCCTAAAATTTGCTTCTTTATTTTCACCTCAAGCTTAAAAAAAATTTATCGCGTTTATTTCGAAATTAATCTTCACTTCGCCAGCAAAATAAAATAAAAAACTCATTCAAAATCTGAATACTTAACTTCGTCTTCGCAGTAAAATCCAAAAATAAAATTTTTAACAATAAAAGCCAGCAGCTTAATTGCTGATATGATGTATTACGAACGTCAGGTACAAAAATTGATTTCAGCACAAAATAGAAATTCGCAAAAAGGGAATCTTTACAAAACATGCAAAAATTTCTCCGCGCATTCTTCGACAGTTGGTCCGAGACAAATTTCACGGGGTCACTTGACACTTTTTCTCCCCCACTCTCTCTCTCAAAAAAAAAAAAGAAATCCCCCCTCCAGCAGAAATTCGAGAACCTTCGAAATCTGAAGAAAAGAAAAGATCGCGCGATTTTCCACGCTTTTCAATGAAAAACTTTCCACTTCCCTATAATAGAGTCCCCCTCGTAAAAAGGCGAAGAAACACGGCCGACACTTACTTGAAATCCACCACCTGCGTTTTCAAATAAAAAATAAAAATAGAAAAAAACCAAGTATGCAAATCGGTTGCAGAAAATACGAAAAGAAAAAAAAACTAGGTGCTATTTCCGAGCTTGCCGTGTTTGTGACGCGTGCTTGACGCGACCCATCTTGATCTTTTTCCATTTTGACGAGACTTTTTTTTTCCTTTTCTTTGAAAAATAAAAAAATATGGAAGCCTAGAAAACCGTTTCTATATACTACTTCGTCATCTTGGGTGTCCTTCCTCCATTAACCCCAGAGGTTCTTGACGAGAAGAAGAAAAAAAAAGGCAAGAGAAGAGGGGTTTTTTGGGGTTGGGCTGGGTTGAAACACCCGAGAAGATGACAACAACTTCTCGACACCTTTCAAGGTGAAATTCGATATTTTCAACGTTGTCAACTGTGACGACAGCTTCTTTTTTCTTGGCCGTGACGAGAGAGGAAAAAATTCAAATCCACTATACTCCTCTTTAGGCCACACTTTTGCCTTGAAAATTTTTTTTGTAACACCAACACAAAATACAAATTACCGTATAACTCAGAAACGATTCAAAATCGTTATTCACGAAAATCTCGTACGAGAATCGCATACAGGAGACATATAAATATATTTAATCAGCCTTCAAATCAAGCTTCGAGGAATCGAACGGTCCTTTGTGCGAAACAGGGTCCGCAATGCGAAGCAACTGTCGGTGGAAGGTGGCTTGTTCTCCGAGTTCACCGCGGTACTCAATTTATTCCTCTCGGTCTTTCGTATAGAGATACAAACCGTGCCGTATATTCGATTTTAAAATAGATTTCCGAGGAAGTTTCATTTTATTTTATTCCTGCTTCTTTTTCGGGCACACGACAAAAGGAACCGACAGCGCGCGTCCGTGTTGTCACAGATGTCGGAAATCGGCACTCAGGGGGTTCAGTGCAAACAAGAACCCCTCGTCCAGAAAAAACAATTCCACCCCTGGTAGTTTGAGAAACACTTGGCTCAGGTCCTTAACCATTCGCACACGCCGTGGAATACAAGTCTTGCAATGTACGAAAGAGACTTAATTTCATCATAAACCCCGACAAGACGGATTAATTAAAACCACACTCGGTGAAATTGACTCGGGGGAGAAATTTGGATAGCGTCAATGAAAATCGCGAGCGAAATCCTGCTTTCCCTCAAGTGCTGACGAACGGAGTTACGAGTCATAATTCCCGTGAATGAAGCGATTTCTAATAGAAAATTGACACACAAAAATCAAGACTCACCGAAAATTCCATGAAGCCTGGGTGAACTTCATCATCACCGATGATCGAGCTCGTGAAGATGGTTCTGCTTGTTCCTCGAAAGCAAATGATGATGATCTTGGATCTCAGATCCCATTTCTTGCACAGTGTACAGTACGTTTATATGATCTACAAGTACTGTAATGAAAAGGCATTACATCGAGAGATATATTTCACGAGCGTTGTGTCAATTCGTGGCACTCAATACCGAAACATCTCTGAAGTATCGTAATCGCGGAACAACGAAGCGCAAACCTGGAAACACGTCCATAATCCCCGATCAAATTAAGGTACTGTACTAAACTTCTTTGATCACGCACTAAGAGGAAATCGATCATTATGACTCAATGAATTGATTGTTGTACCTAATCTTAATCATCATCACATTATCACACAATTTTCACGCATTAATAGCACTTGATGATCGGGTTAATTCGTCCGTCACCGAAGCCGAGATCGCGATGATGACAGCTAGGCGATCGAAAGTTCGAGAAAAGTTGAGACTAACGTCTCAATAACTCGTTCGGTGGGTCGAACGACTCCATCTCATGACCATGCAGCGAAAATCCAGAGGGAGTGCGAAGGGGGCAACGCGTCCGACGCATCGGATGTCAAAACAAACGCATGATCTCTTCAAATCGCAGTTTTGTCATTCTCCGGTGGTTATAACGCAAAAGCCAGGCGATTATCGCGTTATAACAGTACAAACACTGATTTTCCTCATTCAAAATACATGGACACTAATTCCCAACGGAGTCTTTCGGGTTTTTCGACGATGACAGATACCTCATGGAGATTCATTCTGGTAAACACAAGAGCAACAAAAATATATAGGCTTTTATCAATTTCGAAAAAAATGTTCAAGCCACGGCCGAAAAAGAAGCTGTTTTATTTCAAGGCTGGTATTCACGCAGCCTGCTATTTGACGGGAAAATCGAGGAGAGATATGTGTTGTGCTATGAATCTGACGTAGAATATTGCCCGTAATAATTTTGGGCAGCCAACGTGGTTGCCGCTCAGCATCCACTAGCAACTGGTTCCGAGCATTAAGGGGATGAGTTGAATAAAACCCCGGATGTGGGTTGAAAATGATCCGGTTTTCTCCTGTTCTGTTGCTTCGCAATCGCTTCTCTGCTGGTAATCCGTATGCGTCGTTATTTCAATTGACAGAGCATATTATTTTTGTGTTTCTCCGTAGGCTTGGCCCTTCACCGCGCAAAGGACCTGTCTTACCCCGGACGTAGGACAACAGGACACGAAGCCGAAGCTCAATGCGCATGCGCCATCTAACGGGATCACGCCGATTCCCGACACCCGCTACGGAATCAACCACAGCAGCGACACCTCTGGGAAAGTGGGATATGAAACCTGCTACCCCTACCACCACAACCAAGCCTATCATCACTACTACGACTGATTTCCAAACTCGAAAAAAAAAACGAGAACAAAACTGTTCATCATCAAACATTTTCTTTATTTCTCATCCCCGGACTTATTCCTCGCACAAAAAAAAAACAATCCCGCTATTTCAACAATTCAACGTGGAATTTTCTTTTGTAGCAGAAGAAAGAAAAATACAACAGCGAATTTGTACAATGGCCTATTTTTCCTTCCATTTTTGAGAAATCACTGGGAAACTTGATTCGCTCCCTGGGGAGCCAAGACGGCAATAAATACGCAAGGTTGTGTTCAAACTGTGGTAGATGTCACCGCTGCGGGTTTCACAACGCGGCCAAAGAACAAGACCATGCCAGAGTAGTAGTCCCATATAATGAAGATGAATGGATGGTCCACTTCAAAATATTTCTCGCCAAAGGAACCGATTCTTTCAAGGCCCATAGCTGAAGCTGCTCCTCCTTCTGCACCTTCTTCATTTACTTCAAAAGCAGCTCTGTGTAAAGATAAACGAAGAATACTTTTGAGTATGTTCATCAAAAATTAGCACACAAGGACATCAGATAATACATGTATGTCACTTTTCTGCTTTCCAGACAGTTGAATTGAATATGTAGATATTATTGATATTTTGAAATTAGAATTTAAAGATTTTCTGACCTTTTCACTCAGCACAATATGGAAAAGGAGAAAATTAATTTTAAGAAGTTGTAAACTAAAATAAAAATGTTCAAGTGCTAAATTTCAATTTTTCATTTGCAGGCATTATTGTGTAAGTGCCAACAAATTTGAAAATTGAAGCATGTTCTTTCAGCATGAGTTCCAGATTTAGCAACTACTGTACTGTACTGTGTGTCACAAAAAGGGTTCTTATACAGTACTTGAAATAATGAAATTTAAACTTTAGGAATGCTGGAATGGAAATTTTGCTGACAAAAAAAAAAAAATGGGAAAGTAAAACCAAGCAAGGTTGCAATTCAACATTTTCAGCACTGTACAATCAAAGAAACTTATGGGCACCCAAAGAACTTCATTGCAAGGTACTGAAAAAAACTTACAATACTGTACTTGTATGATTGTGGATGTCATTTCTGGTGTAGTAGATAATTTCAATGCACACATATACATTGTTGGACATTTTGTGTATGCATTAAAAAGAGAACCATAGTGTACCATAAATCAGAACATAAATTTTCTGTTCAGTCAAAAATATCACTGCTTTCATGGTATGTCACATTGATACTGGGTATGTCTTATTTATAGAAATGGATATGAGTCATTTGACTCACTTGTGGAATATATCTGAGACATGGACTCCATTTGCAGAGGACATTCCAGTGAAATCTGCTTTGGAAGAGTCAAAGACATCAAGAATCCCCAGGCCTTCAAGAGCAGCCTTCAGCTCAGTGCTTTCTTCAATCTTGAACCTTGGTAGTCTCACATTCACTGTTTCATCCTGTGGAGGGAAAAAAATATATTTTGAATACTGTACAATACTTTAAAGCTGTCAGGTAATTGCTTTTTCTTTAATCTTGAAGCTGAGGAGATTATAATTTACCTTCAATGTGGAGAAAAGCTTCTTGATGGTCTCAGAAGTCAGGCTAGCCTCAAGCTTGCTCAGACCCTTGTCAACATCATCAGGCAGGAATATGAACATGGAAATTCTCCTGTCTTTGAAAGGCAGCTCAAGGACTTGGCACTCCATGGTTGGACTGCTGCCCATGGGCACCTTCAGCTTGCCAATCATCATTGGTATCTCATACCTAATCACCACACAAGACTGGAATGAATGTAACCAACAGCTAAAGAAATGCAGAAAACACTACCTTTCTTGCTGGGTGACATAGAAAAGACCCTTGTCAAAGGTTAAGGCTCTGTTGAAAGGGTACAACCACTTTCCTCTGAAGTACAGTGCATTGGCCAGGATGAGCTTTGTTTCAAGCCCCAGAGGTCTGGCTATCAAATGCCTAATCTTCCCTGAAGAATAAAAAGAGCAAATGATTTTTTACACTTCTTGAAGGCCTGCTTTTGGATATCATCTTCAACTGATTGTCTCTGAGTTCATTCAAGTTTTTTCAAGCCTTTATAACATTTAATCTTGATGATCATTTTGGTTTTTTTATGGAAAATTTCAGATAAGGCAGTCTCTACATAGATTATGAGAGGAGGGTGTTATCAAAATGCCACATAATAGGAACATTAGGATTGCAAAACTGACCCCTGGTCTTCTTCCTGGCCCACTTGTTGATCCTCTCCCTGGCAGCTGGCTCATTATGTGCAAAGTCCAGTTCATCCAGCTCAGAGTGGTAGAACTCTTCCAGGGCCTTGGAGTAGTAGGATGACACTGGGATCCCTTGTTGCTGGAACATGGCATTGGCAGCCTCCACAACCCCTTCATAATAGGGCTCTTCAAAATTCTTCACCACCTGTCTGAACCCTCTGTGAACCTGCCAAGAATCTGGATGAGTACCCACTTTTTCATGATTTTTTTCAGCACAAAAAGAACAACACACCTCAGAGTATGACAGGTTATGATAGCTCAGCCCATTTCTGAGCTGCAAGGAGGTGTTGGACCTGGCACCAGCCCCCAGGTACAACATGGACAGTACACTGGTAAGACTGTAGGGGGACAACAGCAGGTTTCCCCTTGAGTCCCCAGAGTCCCCAACCAACAGTGAGTAGAGCTCCAGAGTGAAGTCAAAGTGTGCCCTTGACAACTTCTGCACCTCTGACATCTCTTCATTGATGGCTTGGTGCTGCTTCCTGGTTTTAAAAATTTCCATTTTTAAGACACAAAAAATTCTCAATGCCTGCTCAACTCAATCTGTTGAGCTTTTGGAGCTAGTTTGGTTTAACTCAAGAAAGTGACTTACTCAGTGTCATCAACTCCAGGAACAGGAGTGGTTCCATCAGCCACAGGTGTCGCTCCCACAGCAGTCAGCAGGGAACCAACCCAGACCAGTTGGGACAGGTGCAACATTTTTCCTCCCAACATACTCCCAAGTGTTTCAGTAGCCTGGGAAGCTAAGGATTCCAGAGCACCTCACACACACTCCATGCTCTTCCACACACACTCTCTCTCCACCTCTTTTTTACCACACCTTCTCCCTCTTTTTTGTCTTTTACATGTCTCACTTTCACTACCTGGGGAAAGAAATAAAGGAAAAAACAGCACTTGAAAAAAGTATCCTCTATGTTATCACACATTTAAAAATGACACAAATTAAGATTCCTATTCACAGGAGACATTCTGAAGAGCTCTGGACCAAAAATACTCTTTCACTGCAGCACACTTCATGACCAAAAAAACGGCTCTGAAAAGCTGTAAAGAATGGCGTATAGACCCAATAAGAATGTATAATCTCACCTCACAGTTACCTGTATCAGAAAACCGTGAGACACACTCCCACACTTTTCTCTGAGGCCTTTTCCGGCGCTGTGCCAGAGAAAGATTTCAATTAAAACACATCCTCAAAATTCCAGCAATTACTTTTCCTTCTTGAACCGTATTCCAGCAACAACAAGAAAAAAACTGATGAAAATGAACAAATTTCTCAGCAAGAAATCAGAAGGGAATAATTTTCCGAGTCTCTAGATTCTGTTGTCGAAAACGGAGCCCAGAGCGAGCGACACCTATGAACAAATTAGAAAGCCGTCACGAGTATATTTCAGTTACGCTTCGTTTCGAGTCGTTCATTCGATTGATCACATGACACATACGACAGAACTCTAATTCAAAACCAGAGCTCACAGCTTTCACAAGGTTCTAGCTCATGATTTTAAAACTTGGACAGCAAAAAGCTAGTATAATTTCTCTCGGAAAAGTTAAATTGCTGGATATAACGATCAGCACGTTGTCAATATCATTTAGAGAAATCGAAATCCATGAGTCAACCACAATTAACCGCTGATTCAAGAAAAAATCATACTGTACTCTGAAATAAAATGAAATTTCTTCAACTTCTGGAAGTTTAATGTACCAAATTCAAAATATCAAGCCATAAAATCTGTCGCATTACGAGTGCTTCGTTGTTTTAGTGGTGGTCAGAGGCATGGAGAGACATCTACTCGCGTCGCGCAGAAGCACACACCACAGCTTTACTCACGTCGGTGACCAGAGAGCCACTGAAGTCGCAACCCCGAAACGCATCCCGGTTTTATACAACCGCAACCCGCAATAAAAGGGGGCGGTGAGACACAAAAGCGGCGATTATTCATGACAGGTTCAAAGTCGTGACGGGTCATGCGATCACGACAATTGCGGGGTACTTTGGTGCGGCACCTGGGAGAAAAATCGTGACCAGTCCAGAGAACCCGGGGGATATTTTGGGAAGAATAAATACAGTAAATAAAATTCGGACAGAGTTTTTTCCCAGACTTTTCCTGACCCCCTGGTAGCGCGTCCGGGTGACACTTACCGTACCAGACGTCGCGTCTCAATCGTACCGGATCTCTTCTGTCATACCATAAACAACTCGCCGCGCCTTTTGGAAAGGTCATTGTGATCGGCCGAGATCAAAGCATCTTGATATTTGCCTATCTTCTACCAAATCAGAGAGACAGAAGGCAAATGAGTGCAATACAGTGGTTCCTTGGCAAACACACTTGATCTGCCCCACAGAAAAGTCTAAATACTGTAATGTGAGGTGTGTGTGTCAATACAATGGTCAAACTGTTGAAAACTATACAGAAAACCATTTGACTGAACTATTTAAAGACATTGAAGCTTAAAATTTGTTTCATACTTCTGCATCATGCATTGTTAAATGCTTTTGGTTGTGTAAAACACTGCTTCCCTTCCTTCCTAGTACAGTATTGTATGTTCTCTCTGATTCAGAACATGCCACAACACTCAAAAGATTACTCAAATCACTAAAAGATTTATTTGGTAATTTCTCAAGAATGCAATTAGGTTTGAACCATTTCAAAGCCTTAGAAACCAAGTTCATGAAGATTCTGGGGAATGAGGAAAAATCTATTTTATTGCTTTTATTTACTTCTTGAGCCACAAAAGAGGATGAGCAATATACAAATTAAGTAACATACAGCAACTAAGAAAACAATGCATAACATTATAAAGAACATCAGAAAAGCTGGTATTCCATCAGTGAATACTATTGATGGAAGTTAAATTTAGCATGGTTTCTTTATTGTTGCTTTTAGTGGATTAACATTCACTAGAAAGTATAATCCAAAGCAAAACTTGGATGGTAAAGCATTGGATGCAATTTTTTGCGCAAAAACTGGTACTATACTTCAAGAGGTTATTCTGAAGCATATTTTCCAGTCACTTTTTTAAAAAGAAAAAGCAATGAAGTATCAGCTGGTAAAATGCTCCATTGTAGCATGCAGCAGGGATTTAAGCCCAGATTCATTTTTAGAAAGTCAAAACAAGTAAACTCCCACAACCAATTTTTTTACATGTCCAACTGCTGTTCATGATTTGCAAACTTTTTAACATCACATTTTTTTTCAGGTAAATAGAAGGATTTTTGAATGAAGAATTTGTACAAAAGAAAAAATCACTGTAGAAGAGGGTACAATTTAAATATTAATCCTGAATAATTTTGAAGTTTCATTCCACTCAATATTGATACCAGCCACTTGTTCTTCAAGGAAAAACAAAGATTTGAAAAATAAATTGGGTTCCACTGGTAAATTTAAATATTATTCTTCATGCACAGTTTAAGATTAGTATTGGAAGTATTCAATCACTGCTGACTGTCCAAATTGACAGACCCATAAATCCTCAGAAACAGATTTCCAAGTCCAATTTCCTACATAAAGTAGTGTGATTTGTAACATAATGAAGTGGCAAAGGAAGAAGTGACTTTTGAAAAAAAAAAAGTCCCACTGAGATGTTGTCTGACAAAAATAGGTTTTACAGTAAATCGATATGAAACTTCGATTTACCAACTTGTAAGAAGATCACCAAATTCTGCTTGACTCTTTTT